CTAGTTTGTCAAATTCATCTTTGTCTGCTGAAATTGACAATGTTAAAAATCTTTTGATCAAAGAACAAACTGTGCTTCATACTTGGGCAAAATCTCATAAGAATGCAAATTATATTATTTCTGCTCAAATTCCACATTCATGTGAAAAAATTCTTGGGGGTAATTTTGCAGAAGCTGAAAAAGTTTTTAAATCACAAGAAAAGGAATCTGAGTTTTATTCCATGAATGAGATAAAAAACAATTTCAAAAATAAGTTTGTCAGTAACTCCTTTATCAATCAGAGCTTAATTGATGAATAATGTATTACTAATTCTGATGGTATTACTGAGTGTAATGTTGAAATTACCGGAATTGATCCAACCTCTTACCCTGCACATCTTGTAAGACCAACTCCACTCACTGAGAATATTATTGCCTTTCCTATCTCAAATGGAGTGTTTCATGCTGTTCATGAACAACTTAAGCATTTTCCTTATTGCAATTCATCTGTGAATAAGTCAAAATCAGACACTGATAGCTTATTATCTAACACTGATCAAATTCCTTCTGGTACTGAATTCAGTTGTGACTCAATGATAAACAAAAGGACTCAAAGCTCTCTTGGTGAATCTTACATGTCGAAATGTGTTAAATCTAAAAATTTGCTCACCAAGAAGAACTTTGGTACTAGAGTTTGTTACAGATGTGGTGATACCTCTCACAAGATCAGTGAATGTTCATTTGATAAATCATCCTCAAGATCTGATAATATTAAAGTTAGAAATGAAAAATGGACTCTTAAGTCAAACTCTTTAAACTGTCTTCCTAAGGAGTGTTATAATTTATTATCAAATAACTTTGTGAATGACCCATCCTCGAATGGGTCAGTGTGTTCTAACTAACTTCTCAGCACTGCAGTGTCAGGAGCATCTTTGGTACTTAGATAGTGGGTGCTCAAGGCATATGACAGGATCAAAGTCTCTCCTGGAAGACTATGTCAAGAAAACTGGTCCTGCAGTTACGTATGGAGACAATGGAAAGGGGTTCACTAAGGGATATGGAAATATCAAATGCAATAACGTAGTTTTTCAAAACGTTTCATATGTAAAGGGTCTCAAACACAACCTTATCTCCATCAGTCAATTGTGTGATGCTGACTATGAAGTTCACTTTACAAAGAAAGAAGGCAAAGTTGTAAATACTGACAAGAACATCGTACTTTCAGCAAGTAGAAAAGATGATATATATGTTCTTGACATGTTCTCGAGTGACAAGGCACTGATGCAATGCTTCTTTACAAAATCTCAGACGAATCTTAGCTGGATTTGGCACAAAAGGTTTTCTCATCTGAACTTCAAGAACCTATCTAAAATATCCAATCAAGATCTAGTTAGAGGGCTCCCAAAATTCAGCGTGGTGAAAGATAAGATGTGCTCAGCTTGTGAACAAGGAAAACAAACCAAGTCCTCTTTCAAACCCAAGTCATGTTCCAGTATATCAGTCCCTCTTCATTTACTCCACATGGACTTGTTTGGACCTATCCCTGTCCGTTCTCTAGGTGGAAATAAGTATACTCTAGTGGTTGTGGATGAGTTCACTCGATTTACATGGGTGGTTTTCCCGAAGAAGAAAAGTCATGCTGCACAGGAAATTATCTCACTGATTTGTAAAAATGAGACACTGACAGGTCTCAAAGTTAGGCAGCTAAGAAGTGATCATGGTACTAAGTTCCGAAACTCAACTCTTGAAGAATTTTGTGATCACAAAGGAATTGGGCAAAACTTCTGAGCTCCTCGTACTCCTCAACAAAATGGAGTTGCTGAACGAAGAAATAGAACACTGATTGAGGCAGGAAGGACCTTGATGATCCATGCTGGTCTTCCTATGTCGTTTTGGGTTGAAGCTGTCAATACAGCGTGCTTTACTCAGAATCGATCTCTAATTCACAGGATTCATAAGAAGACACCATATGAAATGCTGAAAGATTGAAAGCCAGATGTATCCTTTTTTCATGTATTCGGATGTATTTTCTATATACTAAATCAGCATGACCCAAGATCCAAGTTTGAACCTAAGGCTGATAAAGGTGTTTTCGTTGGGTACTCATCCATTTCAAAAGCTTTTCGTGTTTTTCATGTGAACAGACAATGCATTGAAGTATCCATTCATGTGAAGTTTGATGAGGAATCATACACTGATGAAAAGGTCACTCATTCTTCTTCTATTTTTCAAGAGCTTCTCTCTTGTCCATTTGACGAAGTCACTCCTGCTGGAGATGAAGTTGATTCTTCTGATTCTATTGTTCTGGTTCCATGTTCCTCGAATCAAGATACTGCAACCAGATCAGCAAATAATTCATTAGGTGCTGATGAAACCCTTGAAACTGAAGACTCTCCTGCAACTGATAACCTATCAGTGTCAAATTCTCAAGAATCAGCATCAGTCTCCGAACATCGATATCATCCTGTTGATCAAATTATAGGGAATATTCATGATGGTGTCCATACCAGATCTCGTGTATCTAATAATTTTTGCATGTATCTTAACTTCGTTTCAATGATCTTACCTGACAAGATACACTCAGCTCTTCACGATGTTGATTGGATCAAAGCCATGCAAGAAGAACTGAATGAGTTTGAAAGGCACAAAGTTTGGACTCTTGTCCCAAGACCATCCAAGAAAACTATCACTGGAACTCGCTGGGTCTATCGTAACAAGGTTGATAAAGATGGAATCATCACTCGCAACAAGGCAAGGCTTGTAGCTCAAGGGTTTACTCAAATTGAATCCATCGACTACGGGGAAACTTTTGCTCTAGTTGCTCGCATTGAAGCAATCAGACTGTTTCTCGCATACGCATCCTACATGAATTTCATTGTCTATCAGATGGATGTGAAAACAACATTCCTCCATGGTGTGTTAGAAGAATAAGTATTCCTCAATCAGCCCCCAGGCTTTGTGGACAAAGATCATCCTGATTACATGTACCGATTAGACAAAGCTGTTTATGATCTGAAGCAAGCACCCAGGGCTTGGTATGAGACGCTGACATCGTATCTACTTGAAAATGGATACAGACAAGGAGCAATCGACAATACTCTTTTCATCAAAAACAAAGGCTCAGATATGGTTCTTGTTCAAATTTATGTCGATGACATCATTTTTGGCTCTCCAAATGAGACATTGAGCAAGGAATTTGCAGAGATCATGTCTTAAAGGTTCGAAATGAGCATGATGGGGAAGATGACCTTTTTCTTAGGTCTTGAAGTTCAGCAACAAAAGTCAGGTATTTCCATTTCCCAAAGTAAATATATTTCTGACTTGCTTGTTAAGTATTCTCTCAGTGACTGCAAACCAGCCTCTACTCCAGTGTCCAAGACTGATAAGATACACGCTGATCCAACTGGAACTGATGTCAATCACCCTCTGTATCGAGGAATGATTGGATCTCTCTTATATCTCACAGCAAGTCGTCCTGATATCATGTTTGGAACCATTCTCTGTGCTCGATTCCAAGCTAATCCCAAAGAATCTCACCTCATGGCTGTCAAACGTATTTTTCGATACTTGAAAGGAACTCGAAACCTTGCACTGTGGTATCCTCGCGACTCAGCATTTGAACTTTATGGATACACTGATTCAGACTATGCAGGATGCAATTTAGACAAAAAGAGTACGTCTGGTGGATGTCACTTCCTTGGAAATCATCTCATCAGCTGGTCTAGCAAGAAGCAAACATCAGTAGCCATCTCAACTGCAGAAGCTGAGTATGTTGTAGCTGGGAGATGTTGTGCTCAGCTCTTATGGATTCAAAATCAGCTTCTCGACTATGGGATCAAGTTATCAAAGACTCCCATATATTATGATAACACCAGCGCTATTCAGATCACACAAAATCCTGTTCAGCACTCAAAGACGAAGCATATCGAAATCAGACATCATTTCATCAGAGATAATGTTGAAAAGGGAAAGGTTGTTCTTGAACATGTCAAAACTTCGGAGCAACTTGCTGATATCTTCACTAAGGCACTGGATTCTCAAACAACTCTTACATTATTGGAGAACTTGGAATGATTACCTTGTAATTAATTTTGCTGTTTAATTGTGCTAATGTTTGATATTGTCTTATAAGCTGATGTACATTGTGCTGATGATGACTTACTGGTGATATTTGCATACTGAGTACTTTGGTTTGATCTCTTATTCTTCTCTCTTCTTCAAGACTTCTAAACTAAATTTGAATGATTCACTGTATTAAACCATACACTGATAACAACTTGAAACTCTTCGCCAATGGTTAGATCAAAACACCAAGATCTATCACACGCAACTATCCCTTCTTACCAATCTTACTCTGATTCAATGATTCAGTGTGACAAAACACACACTGATGAGAATCCGAAAATCTTTGCCGATGGTTAGATCAAAACACCAAGATATATCACAAGCAACTATTCCTTCTTACCAATCTTACACTGATTCTGTGATTCAGTGTGCCAAAACACCCGCTGATGAGAGTCTAAAATCTTTGCCGATGGTTAGACCAAAACACCAAGGTTTATCACACGCAACAAACTTTCTCTACCTTCCTCTTATTCAGTGTTTAATGATTCAGTAAGATAAAACACTCACTGATAAAGTCACAACACTCTGTGCCGATGGTTAGATAATGTAACTAGTATCTATCACACGCACCAATCTCCTTGCTAGCCCCGATTAAGCAAGTTGTACCTTGAATTGACGGAGAAATACTTTCAGCATGTAACTCTTGTGATATTGATCTCAACGCTTCCGCAAACACTGATTAACGTTTCACCTTCAGTCAACGACTCTTTTATCCAACGGCTATTTTCTGATCTGACAGGTTGTTACGATACGCTGTTATTTTTAATGAAGATAATCATTACCTTTTTAAAAACCCCATTTTCATTCCATATTTAAACCTCTCTCACTCTTGATTTAAACTTTCCTTCCACAATTTTAAACTTCCCTCAAAACCCTAGAACTCTAAAAACTCTCTAATGGCGGCATCTCTGTTCACTTACTCCTCCACCTCTCGAAGGGTAGTTCCTGCCCCAAACTCTCCTCCTCTTCCAATTCACATCAAGGCTACAAACATTGTTTTCAACCCTGATATTCCAGAGGTTCATCGAGGTCTTGGACTCGATGATTTTGTCAATTTCTTTGCTTCCTGCCGCCTACGATACGCAATCAGTGATGTTCCATCCGAGTTCTTCCCTGAACAAGTATGTGAGTTCTACTACACTGCAACTGTCAATGATGACAACAATGCCATCACCGGGACCATTGGCCATGGAAGACACTCTGTCTTCATCACCGCAGAACTTCTCAGTGCTGCCCTAAGGTTACCTATCTTTGAACCTTTCTCTGAACCTCCCATTATTGAATGGTGTCGACGTTTGTTTGATCAACTGGGTTATGATCACTCAAAGGCTGGTACTCGATCAGCTCTTATCTTGCGCCAATGTATGACCCCAGGTTGGAAAATTTTCACCGGTGCTCTGTGCAAGTGTGTGGGTCATAAGTCTTGAAGTGGTGATCAGTTGAGTAATTATGAACAACAAGTCGTCTGCTCACTTCTTCTCAACAAAAGACTAGATTATGGAGCTCTATTCTTTGATCAGCTTGTTCAGCTTCTTCGTGCAAATGTACGCGCTGATCATGTTCGGTTTCCACGCTGGATTGCTCTTGTGTTCGACAAATTCTTTGCTGCAGACTACTTCTCGCATTCTGGAAATCCCATCCAATTCCCTCGCATGTCTGTTCGCATGTATCAAGATGATCCTCTGGATACTGACATTGGAATCTCTGATAGGATGAGAGAATGGATTGCAAATCCATACTTTGTTCCTTCTCTCACCGCTGACACTGATGAAGGAGGTACTGATGGTAATCATGTAGATCAAGCCGGTCAAGAGGATGAACCATATGATGGTGGTCATTTCTCTCCTCAACTTTCTCATCATATCGACTCAGTTGCTAATGTTCCCTCAGCTCAACAGGATTCACTGAGTCCGGGGGAGCAACAATTTCAGGGGGAGCAACAATTTCAGGAGGAGCAACTATCCCAGGGGGAGCATCCCTCTCCGAGGGAGAATCCACCTCATGGGGACCAATATTCTCCGTTAATGCCTCCTAGCTCTCCAGCAGCTCCAGCTACTTCAGTTGTTCAGATTTCGGCCTCAGCATTTACTGAACTTCTGACACTGACTCGGGACATGAATCAGCGTCTTCTACGCATTGAGGCTGATGTTCACCAGCTAAAGGAAGTTCTCCTGAAAACTCCCCCCTCTAGTCCCCAATCTGATGATGCTCAAAAAGGGGGAGATACTGATGATGATGCTGATGCTGATGATAATGCTGACCGTGAACCGAATGAGAGAGTCACTGAACCTGTTGACAACACTCCTGTTCTGCCTGAATCACCTGAATCATCAATGCCAATGCATGAGTTTGACTCTGCGGGGCACAATAGTCCAGCAGCTACTAAAAAGCTGATTGAAGATAGTGAGCATGATGAAGATGCTGATGAACCAGATGATGAATGTCAAATACTGGATATGAACTTCATTAATCCGCTATCAGTCGATCCTGGTGCTGGTCCCATCATTCCGGTCCAAGGAGAGGATTCAGACGTTGCCAGTGAAGAATCTCATCCGCTATCTCGAAAGCGTAAGGTAGCAGACACTGACTTGGCTCATTCTCAAACTGATACTTCTCTGCCTAGGAAGAAACCCAAGTCCATAGTCAGTATTTCAAATCTTGCCGCTGAATGGAACATGTCTCCTGATCAAGTTAAGCAAATTCTTGATGAAGCCAATCGAGCTCAGCTTCTAAAGAACATTGCTCAAGCTGATAAATCTCTAATTCAGCACAAACTTCAGGCCAAGGGATCTTTTGAAGCTCAGATGCAGAAATTCCTGGAATTTCAATCCAAGGCTCAGTCTTCTCAACCTTTTCCTGGCCATAGTAAGCCTAAGACTGACAGTGTTCTTGACAGGATTGATCGAAAGAGATTTGAAGACGTTCTTAATCGGCGAATGTGTGGTGATAAGATCATCAAAGTCAAAGCTTCCAAACCACGAAATGAGAAAATCCTTACGTTGCTGATCACTCGTCAAGGTCCTCAGCATTCATACAATGAAGTTGTCAAGAGGGATGTGTTGATCAGGTATGGATATTCTGAATGGATGGAACTACTTGAACTAGCATCCAAGCAAACCTCAGCTCACTCTTCGGAACTGACTTGTGCTCTTCATCTGCTGATCAAGAAAGTCAGCGTTTGGATCTTGTTCCTAAAGAACGACCTCAACATCAAGGCCAAAGGTTTGTGTTCCTAGAACTCAAAGAACCAAGTTTCAAGTTGATGGTGAAGATGTATTGGTTCTGGACTTTGGTGCTGGTGAAATTAACAATTCTCTTCCTATCAGCATTGATCCGGTTCAGCATAAGTTTATCTCAGCTCCTGAACACGGGATGTTCTATCTTGATAAAAACAGGAGGATGTGTTTTCAGCGAACTGCTGAGATCCCAAAGGCTCCAACCACTCATCTTGTTGGCTTAAGGCAAATGTGCATGAGTCATCAAGATCTATCCGAAGAGTTTCACATTCTTATTGCCATGGAGCTGCTGAACAGAAGACAGGAGTTGCTGGATGGTCCTTACTGGCCGGTTAAAATTGAAGCTGAAGCTGAGTATGAAGAGTTCCTTTCCAGAGGTGTTTTAATTTAGTTTGTTTTGAACATCATCATATTGGGGGAGATTGTAAGGTCAAACCTTGAAATATGATAATGTTTAAAACAAACTCAGCATCAGCGTGTATCTCAGTATCAGCACCAGCGTGTCAGCAGTTCAGTTTGTAATGGTTTAGTTTATTCAGTGCATTGTAACAAATCTTGTATTTATCCTGTTTCCATAGTTAGCTTAATTAGTTAGCTAGCGTATCCCTGATTTGTAGGGATTGTCTAGAATCGCAGTATATAATCTTTTGTATAGGTTTGTGAATTGTTACGCCTTTCACAAACCCTAATCGCTGCTTTGTGCACACGATAATCTCTTTGTGAGATTATCTTTCTAAGTGAAAGTTTTTCTTCGTGAATTCCTCTTGTTCTTGTTTACTGTCATTGTTTGATATATTGATTGATCTAAAGGCCTTTTCACAAAGACAATCATCTATCATGATAGATTATGTTTTGAAGATTTTCTACACTACATTTGTTGAAGATTCAAGTCTCGGATTCGCATTTTGCCAACACGTTCGCATATCTCTGAAGATCCAAGTTCTATTCTCCATAATTAAATATTTCCATATTCAAGACGTTCAAGTTAACCACACGCGTTCAAAATTGATATCGCCACTACTACCCTAGGGGAATCTGTTCTTTTTTCTCCCTTTTTATAGCATTTAAATTATTTTATGCATACAATGAGGGCATTGTATGTAATAAGTGTGGGGTAGGGGGTTGAAAAAGCAAATTACTAGAAAATTTTAAAATTTTAAATTTTAAAAATAGATTTGGAATAATAATCTAAATTGGAATATAGTAATAATTTAAGCTTAAGTTACTAGTCTTTTGTGGGATGATCCAATGCAAGATCAAATGTTTAATTGAGCCAATATATGTTATAGTGTATTTTTGGCTTCTGATTCCTAGTGAAAAATCATGAGATATGAAAGGTAATCTGGTAATTTATATGGCATAATAAGTTTTGAAGCCTAAACCTGAAATCTATCCAGGAGAGCTTATGTAATCATTGCATTTAGACTAATACCTCCAACCAATAAAGGTTGAATTAAGCTCCTTTGCCTAAGCATGTAGGAATTGAGTGGAAAAAGTGAGTTATATATATATATATATATATATATATATATATATATATATATATATATATATATATATATATATAAGAGAAATTACCAAAAAGTTGTTAGAATTTTGGAGCTATCAAAGTATGAAGATCAAAAGATTAAAATTATGAAGAGTCAAAAAAGGTAAAGATACCAAAAATCAAAATAAAAAGCAGTGAATTCAAAGAAATAAAAGATAAATTATCCACAGAAGTGAAGAATTCCAAGAGCTCCATTGTGGTATTAAAGTTGTAAGTTTTCTAGATTATGTATGCTTGGGTAGCTTAACAAAAATACCTTGAGGTTAAGAAAGATTTACAAGGATTGATTCGGAGGGTTGCAGAAATGACTGTTGTATAAGCTAAGGGGTGAAGGTTCATAAAGATTATGAGTATCTAGGATTAGGGAAGTTGTTAGGAATTTAGACACAAATATGCGCATTGAGGTCTTGGTATAGTGGCTGAGTTCAAAATGGATTGTTCTATGTGATGTTAGTGATGAAAATTGAACTTAAAATAAATTAGTTTTGATTGGGAGCAAGCAAAAGATAAATGTGGGGTATTTGATACTGCCATATTTATACACATTTTTAGGCAATATTTTAATACATTTTTATACATATTTTGGTTTTGCAAAGAAAAATGGTACTTATTGTATTTTGCATCCAAAAAGAGCAATCTTGAAGGATAAGGGCCAAAAGCAACAAGAAGCAGTACTATATAAATCCTTGCTACTTACGAACTGGGGAGTTCTTTAGGAGATTGGACGGTTTAGAAGACGAATTTTGAAGGAAAACAAGCCGAAGAATTCAAGTGTTAAACATCCAAGGAAGAAGAAGTAGTTAAATCTAGTTAATTCTGTTTAGTTAGATGAAACTTCAACTCATGGGTTTATTAGTTATGGACTTTACTCGTTGGTTAAAAGCTTGTGTTTGATTATTAATACCTAGCATGCTAATATTTGATACTTAAATTGTTTGAATTCATGTTCTATGTAGCTTAGTGACAATTTAATTACATGAACTTGACACCTAGTAATTTTGTGACCATTGAATTGCTAGAGCTAGGATCGATAAAATATTAGATAAGTAATTGAGGTAATTAAATTTAGTTCTGTTGAAGAACATAGATTATGACCATAATTGTGTTTGTTTAATCAATCTTACATAGCTCCATTCATAATTCATAATTGATTATGTGTTAAGTTATGTATGACCTTGCATAGTTCTATATGAATTAGTTAAGCAATAGTATATTTGGACTTAAATTACTAATAATATAATAATTGGTAACCAAATTCAGGGCATAAGAACAAATGATCAAGACATGCTAATGTATTTCAAATTCAAATATGTTGATGATTTATGCATGGCTTTTGTTTTTCATTTTTTTTGCTTTAAACAATTTGTGTTTGATGTTTAGAAATAGAACTTTATGTTTAATGTTCGGTTGAAAAAACTTGTGTTTGAAGCTTGAAAATATGATATTTCTGCATCATTTTAGGCATTTTATGCATGTTATTGGTCATAATCTATTGTTGATTTCCTTTACTAATCAAACAAAACACACTTACCTGGTTGTTTTAGTTTTCTGATCTCCAAACTAAGTTTGATCTATTATCGACCTCGTTGAGTTTGAGAGTGGATATTACAATTTAAGTATTTATGTCGTGTACCATTCTCCTTTTAATATTATCGATCTATACATAAATAGTTCACACAAATAATCACAACCATATTTTAACACATATGAACATATTTTTATAATATTCTATATAATGGCGGCCAGGCAGGTTAATTACTTGTTTATGTAAGGAACGTAAATGGTTTTACCAAAAATATGCAACAAAGTGGATACTTACAAACTTATGGAGCCATATTTGCATTTATCAACTAGATTGCTTAAATTAGTAAAGAAAACTATAGTTTCACAAAGTAATAAAAAACAATAAATTTAAAAAAAAACGTTCATAAAATTATCTTATGTGTGTAGAAGTTCCAAACATTTCACATTTCCTCCGCACAAATTTACATGTTTTTTTTCTTTTTTTTTTGAAAAATGTCAAATTTATTACAACATGTAGATCAATGGCGTAGCCAATATTTTATTTTGAGAAATTTCATCAAATGATCAAAGGGAAGGTGGTGTTTGAACATTTTAACCATGACAAATAGAGTTTTCTAGAATGACCATGACTTCCGCAGAAGGGGCTCTGTGAAAGCCATAAACCTTCTGAGGAATCCGACCCTGACTAAGGAATTAAGGTTTTAGGGGTATTTTTGTAAATTCACAAAAACATATTCTAATAGGATTGTTGCGGAAGTTCGAATCGATAGTATTATTTGTTATTTGATGTGTTATTTTATTTATAAATGTGTTATTTAATCCACTATATGGTCTTTAAAGTGTATCTTACTTCAATTGATAAGAAGCAACAAGCAAATCCATATTTTTTTTCCACAGGTGCTATGAAGAACAATTCCTCAAAGTTGTGTAACTAAAGAACAAATCCACATAGGACCTTTCTGCTAAACCATTGAGTCCTCTGCAGAGCTTTCGGAATCGATTTAGTTTCTTCAGCAACCATTTTCTCAGAGATATTAATAATCCGCAGAGACAACACCATTTCCACGGAGTCGCTTCTGCGGAAGTATAAAAGATACCGTTTTTTGTCTTTATCCCTTGCCACCTCAATTCCTCGTTGCTATTCACATTCCTCATAAGGTTTAAGGCTTCCGCAGAGCCCCCTCTGTAGAAGTCATGGCCATTCTACAAAACTCCATTTTTAATGGTTAAAATGTGTTCAAACACCTCGTTCCCTTTGGTAATTTGATGAAATTTCTCTTTTATTTTAGGATAGAAAAAATAATTCTTAAAATATAAACAAGTAGCAAAATATTTCAAATGGTAAAAATATGTAAGAATGTATGATTTTAAAGTAACTTGTCGTTTAAGTTGAAGTGCAATTTGATTTACTCAAAAAATTGTTGTCTCAATTCTTTAATCGATGTGCCTCAACAGTTAAATTATTTCTTTCATTAAGAATTTAAGTTTTGAATGGGATGGGCCATGACACAATTTACAACGTTAGTGTTTTTTATTCAAAAGAAATATAAATTTGAGTAAATTACACGAATGGTCCCTATGGTTAGGAGTAATTTGCGCGCTTAGTCCCTAACTTATTTTTTTAACTCGAAAGGTCCTTACTGTTTGTGTTTGTTACGCGCTTGGTCCCTACTGTTTGTTTTTATTACGCGTTTGGTCCCTGTTTTACCTAAAAGTACTATTATTTAAATAGAGAAAAATGATGTGGTGGATAAGGTAAGGTGAAGGGGATGG